TGAAAACAGCACAGCCTTCTGGCATGTCCAGTAAAGCCTGCAGTGTCCCTTCACTTCCCCCACACCATCCTCTGCTTGTTCCACACCAATCCCCAATGCCTTCCACCACTCTCCATGCTCCCCACCATTCTCCCAGACCTCTTCCTTTGCTCCCTACTGCCTTGTGCTGCCCTGCCCTTCTTCCCATCTCTCCCTTTGCATTTGGCCCCTTTCCATGGATGCCCATCATTGCCCTACTATGCATCTTGTACATAGTACAGTCATGGGGGGGGGGGCATATTGGTGGTTGTATCAGTGTGGGAGTATCAGGAGGCATGAGGGTGCAGTGTATGAATATAGGTGTGTGTGTGTGTGTGTGTGTGTGTGTGTAAAATATGCATTGATTTTGAATCTCCTATTTTTACATGGCCTTTTGGATAGAAGACAATTGGAAAGTGTGCCCCCCATACCTCTCAAAGCAAGCATGGCTCTCAGCCCCCTGAACCAAAGTGCAGCAGGGGGGTCCCCAAGCAAGTGGCTCACTCAGGTTTTCATTGAACACCACAAATACAGAAGATCTGGCAGAGAAAATTATAATCTAGATCTGAGCAGCAGCATTTATCTATGTACTTATTTGCCTAATTTATATCCCACCCAACTCCAAAGATTCTGGACTTAAAATTTATAAAAACAGCAGCATCTAATTTCATATAGCACAATAAGCCATGGTTGAATAATTTTAATATGTGATTTACATATAACTAAATCCCATTATGGCTTGGCACAATGTGCAAACAAGGCACATAAAATCTCTTAATTCTTTAGCAATCCATACAATATCATGTTCATTTTGGGGTCCATTAACTGCAAGGATGTGGTGGCCATATTGAAGGACACAAATTGCTAGATGGGGGTAGCCTAATCCTTCCTACTATCCCTTTTTCTTGTGCGCTCCCAGTGGGTTGAATTAAAGTACAGCAACAGGTGAGCTTGAAAAAAGGTGCAGTTGCTTTCTGAGTCACATTAATGAGTTCTCTTTAAAAAGCAGCATCTTTTTTTGTGCTCTTGCAGAATTCTGAAAAAGAGACATGCTGCTTTAATGAATAGCACTGGAGTGCTGTGCTCATGCACACAAGTGGTCAGAAGCACTTCTGAATCATTTTTGAAGCGTGCGCTGCCCTGTAGAATTAAATATTAGGGCTACCATATGTGGGCTGCAAAACTCCAGACAACTGCCTGATTGCAAAGAATTAAGAGTTTCCTGTATTTCTTGCCACCATCTAATGGTCACCTAGATGTTTGCAGCCCAAATATGGTTGACTTTCAGTCACTTTTGAATATGAACTAACGGACATAATTTATCTGAGATTGTCTGCCAGTAATTGGTGCTTTGAGTTCTTGTAAGCTCACCTTTGCACCATCAGTGATAGTATCCAGCGACATAATTTTCTGCTGGCCTCTTTTTTGATTGCCTTAGATTTTTCTAAGCATCAGGATCTTCTCCAGTGCATTATGCATTAAAATATTTAGACATTAGATTTATTATTAGGGCTTCCAGTGAGCAGTCTTATTTTACTTCATTCAATATTGAGTAAAGTAACACCAGACTGCTTACTGGAACCACTAATACCAAGGTATTCTCAAAAATATTCTTCAGCAGCACAATTCAAAGACATTCATTTTTCTTTATCCACTCTTTCTGGTGGTCCAGCTTTCACAGCTGTATGTTATAATTCGGAAAAGCATGGCCTTGACAATACATGGCATTGCCATCATTGTGCGACTTGTGCACTCTAATGTGGCACCAAATACACTACATATATATGTGTGAGTGTGTCTGTGTTACTGTGGCATTAAATGCAATATATTTATGCATTTAAGACTGTGGAGCGCTATCAAGTTTGCATGCTCAGATGTTATCCCTCCTATATGTACAGAAGACAAGAAAGACAATGAAAATCACGCTGACTGGGCAACCGTATCTGAGCTGCAAAACTCTGCACAGCCACTAGTTGGGAACAAAGAGTCAGAGTTGTCTGTTTCTGCCATCTAATGATTGTCTGGATTTTTGCAGCCCACTCTCATAGCCCTATGCACTGAAGGTCATTTTCTTGGTTCTTCCACTCTTGTTAAAAGACTACTGACTATTTTAAAACAAGGAGATGACAACTGTGGGATGCATGCAGTTGCCCCAGCCCTGTTTTAAGTTAAGTACATGGTGAAAGGCAGAAGGAGTGTCGTCTTAAATAGGCCTCTATTTAATGTCTGCAAACCGCTTTTTATGAAGTTACCAAATATTGTCTTTGCATTTGTAAGCAAAGATAGGATGGGAAGCTTCAGGATATCCAGGGCTTTGGGACAGATACATGTTTACCAGTCTGCAGGAAAAGCCGTGTATGAAATGAATAAAGAAGGCGAAACAGCCAGGGCTAGTTGCTAGTTAGTTCCAGTGACAGTCAGATCTGTGCAATCCTAACTGCATAAAGATGTTTAGACTGATGAGGAATTACAAAAAAGCCTACTTTTATTTTATTGGTATTCAAGAGTGCTTTAACGGGATTTTCTTTGTTTTATAGAAAAGGAATGTCCTGACTATACCTGCCCAAGTGAGTATCCCATACAATTGTAGGTACCTGTTTGGGTGACTTCTCTGTCCCGTGCATAATCTTAACGTTGCCTTATTTACTAAAACATCATGCTGGGTTGCTCCATGGGGCCTGACTGGATTGTTCCATCTGAGCATCTGCAGCTGAGATGGATAAGCTAGTTCAACCTGCTGCGGCAATACAGCAAACTGTGGTCGGCTGCAATTTGTTGTTTATCAGCCATTTGGGGCACTGTTCCAACCACCAGACTGATGTCTGCCCGGCCAATACTTCCTGGCCTCTCTCTCTCTCTCTCTCTCTCTCTCTTTTTTTAAGGTTTCTGCTAAAAATGAATTCACATAGTGATTGAATTCTGGCCAGAACCACTGTGAGCAGGATGAGAGAAAGTTGAGTCTTGGTGTCCCAATTTCACCTCCTGCACATGATGGAGGAGAAAATCACAAGAGCACAAGACATGTTTTGCGGTTGCTTCATTTTGCAGCTGCCTCAGCCTCCATATTGAGAATGTGAAAACAGTGCTAGAGAAACATAATTTTAACTACAGGTAGTCCCCAGTTTAAGAATGAGTTCTGTTCCCAAGGTCTGTTCTGACCTGAATTTGTATGTAAGCCGGAACAGTATTATTGTATGATGCTGTATAAGTAGTATTGTGTAATGAACTCGAACCATTGTGTATTTAACTCAAATCATTGTGTATTTAACTTGAATTTTGCTACAGTAGGCTCCGTTCTTAACTATGAGTCATCCTTAAACTGGGTGTTCTTAACCCGGGGACTACCTGTATATGAATCAAAGTGCTAAAAACTTCTTGTCACTGTCAAGCTACATCTTTTGAGCTGTATATCTTCCTTTTGTGTTGCAACATCTACCAGTTAATTCCCAGAGAAATCGTTTTAGAATAATATTAGATTGAGTCAATGTGCCTCTGCACTGTGCAACAGCAGAAAAGTCCCTAATCCCTGATGTTATTCTGCTCCTCTTTGACTCTACAATCGGTGCCCATGGGGAAGGCAGTGTGTCCCGTCGCCCCCCAGCTTCCCCTGAGCCCTCTGTAACCTGTGGGATATGTGCCTTAGAGAGCTGCAGTGGGAGTGAAAATTACTCCAGATCAGCAAGAGGGTTCTTGCTCCAATGGAAACGCTGCTTCCTTACATAAGGTGTTTTCACTCAGTTTTGCAAGAGAGCCCCTTCCCAGTTCAGCCCAGTATGACTCAGCCTCCTCTCTTGAGGACCCCTACCCTGAGCTCGCTCTCTCTCTCTAGAAGCTTTTCAGGGACATGTGAAGAGGGGAAGGGAAAGTATGTATGGAAGCTGCTTTGCACTCAGGCAACTACTGAGAGCAACCTGTTGAAACCTATACAGCAGAGAGATCACCAAAATACCTTTTCTCTTTTCAGTCACTTTTGCTAATTCAGCTGATATCACACTCCTTGTGGATAGCTCTACTAGTGTTGGAGCCCATAACTTCAATACCACCAAGAAGTTTGTGAAACGTCTTGCAGAACGATTCCTGTTAGCTGACAAAAGTCCAGGTGCTTCTGTGCGCGTCACTGTTGTCCAGTACAGTGGCCCCACACAGCAAAAACTGGAGGTGGATTTTCAACGGAACTACACAGTGATAGCTGATATAATTGACAAAATGGAATTTATAAATGATGGCACAGATGTGGTTGCAGCCTTGAACTATGTCACCAACCAATATCAGAGGTCCTCTCGTCCCGCTATTAAGAAGAGGGTGCTGATCTTCTCGGATGGCAATTCTCAAGGTGTCTCTGGAAATGCCATTGAGAGAGCAATCCAGAATGCTCAACAGGCAGGCATTGATATTTATGTACTTGCTGTTGGCACACAAGCCAACGAGCCCAATCTACGTTTGCTTGTCTCCCAAAAAGCAGCTCAGGATGAAGTAGCCTACAGAGAGCGCCACCTTTTCAGAGTACCTGATTATCAATCTTTGTTGAAGGGTGTATTCTATCAAACTGTCTCCAGAAAAATAGCTATGGACTGAGGAGGTGATTCCTAGAGAAGCAAGTTAATGCAGATTCTGAGATTTCAGAAATAAATTGTTAACCTCCAGTGGAACCCATGTTTTTATACAGAGCCATAATCTTCTGTCCTTGCTTTTAGGCTGTGCTACGTTTATCCCTGTCCATTCCTGTCTTCTTTATTGTCCATGAATTCTTCCAGCCTACAGGAAGAAATACAAATAGATTTATTGCTGCCCTAGTTCATAACTGTAATTGAGAGAACTATTTTTGTTTTATATTTGACAAGAGTTAAACTGGGCTAACTAGGAATTTTAAATGCACTGTCTTTATCCCTAAGATTGATAGCACACTTCACATGAATATAAAGATCTTCTTTTCAGAATCAGTCAATCAGTTTATTAAGGTCTTAGACCAGTACAGTCTTTTCAGAATAAAATGCCCACTGACTTCATTGCCAATTTTTTTTTATTTTGTAACTTAAAAGATACAATATAGTAAACATATCCTGGGCTAGACAGTTCCAGAAAAAATTATTCTGCTCTTAGAAACAAGGGATTTTCCAAATAATACTTATTGCCTTACATGTCACTTGAGGGGCTTATTGAATGTTAACATGGGTTCATGATCTGGTTCAAAACAGGAGGAGGAGGAGGCAATAATCTCACAGTATCTAGCCCAGCCCAGAATTGAAGTAGAGAAGCTACGAGGGATTTATTCAACCATGATGTTATTTATATACAGTGAACTCACAAATGTGATTTGTTTGGCATTACCTACATCATTTTTAAATGAAATTGTATGAAAACCTGTACAGGACTCGTCTTCAGAGGATCTTAATTTTTCCAGTATGATATTCAGTATAAGGTGCTACACTCACTTCACAAGCTGAGCTTTACGTTGCTGATTACGTTTACATATTCATAGCTGGTTTGGACAGGTTTCATGCGGTATTTCCAATGGTGCTGTTGCCATGAATTCAGTATGGTTTTAAAAATGAAGCAGTTGCTTTCAAAATTGCAGCTTGTATTGTTTTGTAATCAATATTCATTTACCACTTTGTTTTATTTTATCCCTTTGTTTTACTGACAGATGTTCACTTTGAGGGTGTTTTGCAAATAAATTGTTTTCCACAGTTCCAGTGCCTTCTGTTAGTTGAAAAAGGGGGCTCCAGACTCCTGGTTTTTTGCCACCATAGACTATCATGGCTCTCCTCCTACATGGAAAGGAAAGTGCTTTTACACCAGTCTTTTAAGTCAATATTTTATTATGGACACAGACCAGAATTCATAAGTTATAAAAATTCATAACTAGTGTGAGGTTTTGTTCATTTGGCTTTTTATACATATGTGACACTAAAAACAGCTTTAAATTCTTGATGAGACTAATAGAATGAGAGGATTGCTTGATTCTCTACATATTTATCCAAAAGTAATAAATGGTGCTTATGGTATTCCATCAGACTCTTCCCAAATTACCATGCATACAGTCAAGACCTTAAATGGCTTAGATATAGTCAAACACTCTAAGAATTTCTGAGGATGATAATTAGTGTGGGTGGGGGCAGTGTAGGAATTTCTATTTTTTATAATTTATTAAAAATTGCAATTAAAAAGATAAAAACTAATATAAACTAAAAAATAAAGGAATAAAAAATAGAAAGTGCAGAAAAAATAGAAAGAAAAGGAAAAAGAAATAAGAATATAGTAAAGAAAAAGAAATGAAATATATAGAGAAATGACTTCCCCCTTCATCACTAAAAGTACAAACAATTTTAGTAGCTTATCACCTTCTCTTAATATACAACAAATAATCCCTTCTTCCCATATCCCATCTCTTATCTATAAACAAATCCTTAAAG